TGAAATAATCAAAAATATTTTTCTTCAAACAACTTAGCATCCTTAAAAAATGCATTTAGTGAGAAGAAAAAAAAAGAATTATACTCAACAAAATTAACTGATTTAAAATGAAGTGTTGTTCAGTCAGCAAGGTTTTCGTTCAGGTGTAAAACTAAAAGAAAATGATGAATGATCACATGCGGTTCAATAATAAATGTCTTATAAAATATGACAGTATCACAATAATCTGTGACATTTTCTTATGGCATTTATGAATCACGCACAGTGTTGCCTTGGTATAGTTGAAAAAATTAAAGGATATCTAGACTTAGTAGTTTCATGGATAACGCTTCGAATATTTGATGCTTAAGATGTAATCTGAACACCAACACTAGGACTCAGAAATATCGGACTAATCAGTTCCAACCCAATAGGGTGTAGGCAGTAACTACCATACCAAATGGGTGAGGTCGCCCAAAATCCCTAGATCAATTAGAGTTAGACATTAACACCGTTGGATGCCGGTCCAGTGGTCGGATGGTAAGGCGTTCGCGTACAATACCGAAGGTCCTGGGTTCGAATCCTGAGGGGTTCAGGAGTCGTGGATGCGCACAGCTGATGAGTCCCATACCAGGACGAAACGGACGTCTTTCAGTGCTTCCGGGTTTCTACTGGTGGTCTAACAATGATCGATTGATGATTTCAAATGTGTAAAATCACAAACCTCTAAAACTCTGCCCAAAAAAATGAAACATTCTACCTAGATTTCACCGTTAAACATCTAATTTCCATTTATTCTATATGAATTGTAACGAAAATAGCTTTATCTAGACAGTCCTTAAAAATCCGATCCCTTTCCACTGGATGAGGTAATATATCATCGATCAATACGACCATCTGTATTTGATCAATCTGACCGAATGACCAATAAAAACAACAAGAACATTTGTTCTATTCTATTTGTAAATGATTCATTCTCATTTGATGCTATCAATTGTGTTCAAAATGTGGACATATACATTTTGATTAATTCATGATTTCCTATTTTAACACAGTATTCACATTTGTATTGTAAATTGCAAAAACAACATTAATGTTAATCACAGTGTTCATCAATTGGATTTTATTACTGCTTTTCAATTTCTTTCTTTCAATGATTGACATTTTATTGATTTCGACTAACATGATGATACTACACACACACACACACACACACAATGGAGATGTACACACTTCTACCTTTGATTACTTTTTCTTTTCGTTCGTAAAAAATATTGTCACATTTGAAAAAAAGGCTTAGATAGATGAACAAGATGAAAATGAAGAAATTACATCATTATTTGCATCTTGTTTCATTTATTCTGCATTTCTTACTAACATTTCCACTTGAATTAGTTAACTATACGTATATATGTATACATAAACACACACCTGGTATGAATTTTTTTGATTCACTTGTTACAGTATGATTATTTATATCTGATCAAATTGAAATCTGTCTTTTTTTCTTTTTTGTAAGAAAAAAAGTGTTGAAATTTGCATAAGATATAAAATTAAATTAAAATCACTACCGTGATTTCAATCATCATCATCATCATCAGCAGCAGCAGCATCACATACAAATTATGAAGTGTAACATAATGACAGTTCTAAAAATTAAAATGTCAATCGAATATAAAGCAAAGAGAAAAAAAATCACATATGCGATCATATGATCATGTATTCGTTTGTTATAACAGAAAAAAATTTGAAATTGAATATTGAATAGTTGTTTTGAACACGTGGCGCGAATTAAAGCATACACACAGCGACTTTTTAAATCATAAAATAAAAAATCATTCGAAAGTTAAGGAAGCGGTGAAAATCGATCGATCGAGTAGTAATTAATGCTCAATGGTATATTATTAGCCTAGTTTATGAGTGATAATCAAATTGGTGTCTATTTTAATTTTAATGTGACTGGAAATGTGAATAACAACTGATCAGCGAATATCATTTTAGTTAAGAATTCAGTTACTTCAGTATGGTATTTTGGGGCAGAGTTCTGGAGGTTTTGTGTTTTTACACATTTGAAATCATCAGTCAATCATTGTTAGACCACCACAATTAGAAACCTGAAAGCACTGGACGGCCGTTTCGTTCTGGTATGCGACTCATTAGTAGTGCACATCCACGAATCCTGCTCCTCGCAGGATTCGAACCCGCACTGAATTGAAGTTCATTACGTGGTATTGATTAATTTCAACTATCTAATTTATTCCCAAATCCTATTCGTTAATTATCAATCAATAAATCAATCAATGAACAGCAACCAAAACTTCGTACCTACGTACATCCGTCACTTCATGTTGCCATACCACATTAGCACAGAGGTGCAATCGTCAATTCTAATCCCATAGTAGTAGACGTAGTAAAAGTATTAGCAGTAATAGTTAATTATTATTATTTTTGATTGAATTTTCACTTATTTCCTCATATTCTCATGACTATTATTATTATTATTATTATTATTATTATTATTATTACTATTTTCATAATGAATGGATATCAGCTGATATTAAACACATTTATGTAATCAGACATCAATGACACTAGATTTAAACCATACCATTGATTAACACTACAAACAAATAGATATTTCTTATTGTTTCATTTGAAGGCATGTTGAGGGAAATGAATTTAAACAAGAAAATATACTACATCATAAATTGTTTGATTTTTTGAACACTTTTGATTCATATATTCAATATTTCAAAATCTAAAATCATCTAATTTTATTCTATATCTATGAGTGCATTGCAATTGCATTTTGAGCATTCACATATATTGTTTAGAACAATATTGACATTTGAAATAAACACTTGATAATCATATTCTCAAATGTCAATTAAATCATTATAGTGCTCAACTGTACTTAGTATCCACTCGTCACTCTACGTAATTTTGAATATTAAACACTTCATATCATATGCAATAAGAAACTATGAATCATTAAGTTGGTATTTACTAATCCCCAGATCCAAATTTGTTCCTTTCATGATATAAAATAATCATCCATCAATACTGTCTACCGAAATGAGCTGTCTACCCAAATTACAAAATGTTAATAATATTTATTGGTTGATTTCATTGCAACATAATGTGTTTGTTGTAAACATTGAGAATAATGCAGTACTACACTATTTGTGTTTTTATGTTATTCTGAATTCGTATTATTCATATAAAAAATATCAGATTTTTCAAACTGAACTTATTGTTATTTTGTTTGTTGAATTAAACACCATTAGATCGGACTGATTAGTGTTATGAGTTTGTGTATTGGATGTGACAGACAAAAGATGTTATCATACCTATTATAAAGCTGAAAACTAGGATCGATTTCAGTTTTAAATATTCGGAGAAAGATTCAAACTACCAATATAAATGAATTAATCTTCAGCTCACATTCAACTAGCCAGTGGCTCTCTATACTTAGTAGCTTAATGGATAACACGATGTCGTTTGAAAGGAATGGTACTGCATTCAAGACCCCCAGTGAGTATCAACTCTTGGATGCAGGTACAATCAGCCAACAAGCCCTAAATGGGGGCGAAATGCACATCCTAGATTCCACTACCAGTCATTATCCACCTCTATTAGTGTGAGACAATATTTTTCAAACTTAAATACTATAATCATCGGAGTGCATAAATGATTAACATACTCTGGAATACAAACTTTTCAGCATAATAAAAATGTTAAAATATTTTATGCTTAAGTCTATGACATACAATGTGATTTTTCTTAGCATTCCTTTTTACTATTGTTTTGGAAAATTTCAAGTATCTTGTGGAATTCAAGTACGCATTAGAAAATGATTTCACATGATTAAAAGGTTTGAATCAATAACATGAGACAAAATACATTTTTCCTGCCTACTTCGTTATAATTAAAACCTACATTTCAGGGTAATTGATGTTTTTGACCAATCAAATATTTACTAGGATAGAACACCAATAGCATAATGAATTCGATTCACCAATCACATGATCAGATAAATTTATGACTTTCTTAACTTATTTTGTTTTCATATTCTATGTTCCAATATTAATCCACATTAATCCTGCCAATCATTTCATCGTATTTTACGGCTAGATTACAATTTTTAAACTATCATACCAGAATAGTCAAATATAAAACTCCGTATTATTTTTTCGCCTACCCTTTAATTATGTTCACTGTAGGTGGCATGCTAGACACACCACCCTATTATATTTTTGGACACCATAATGATTCGTTATTTTTTAGTAGGTGGTTAAAATATTTCCAACCTATCGCATAACAGCATCCTAATCAGATATGGCTACCTGATAGACAGGTAACAAATATTCGTTAGTTTAAAGTCAAATTATATTCACAGTACTGCACTGATAAATCTGTTGATGCCAGGCTCAGCAGGGAATAAAGCTGACCATTTGTAAAGTGTCATCACTCAGCGTGCAATCAAAACCTCCCGGACAGTGTACTACTACTACTTGACTACGCGGTAAGGGGGATTCAAGAAGTTATTTTTTTTTCGTAGTTCTAAAAGTGTACTACATCCTGGTGAGTAATAATATCACTGAAGTTTCTGTCGTCAAGGCTTTGTCAACTATTATTTTATATACACGAATACATTTCCCGTTCATTTCGAATTAATAAAAAAATTACCAACGGTGAAGAAACCACGTGCTATTATTATTATTATTAAATAGGCAACAATTTGAAATAATTTATGACCTCTCTCTTCTATATTAGACAACCTGTCGATCATTCAGTAGGGTTCCAAAAGACCCTACCTAACATGTTTCATACTGATTAATACTAATTGAATACAATTCCAACTGAGTATCTTTTCTAAAATAGGTCAAAATTACAAATATAGACAGTGAATATAGAATAAATTCAATTTTCGCAATTGATCTCCCCCTTCAGATAAATTAACGACAGTAAAACCAAAAAAACCAAAAAAATTAACAACAACAACATTAGATAACAACAAAATGCACACACAATTATACAATATTTTACCACCTGGGGTAAATACTCAGTCACAATCCCAATTCAGATCACAGCCTTCCCATCTATCAAATGCACCATTGATTTATTCTCATTATTATCCAAATGATACACTATCACAATCATCTCATCAACAAGAACCTCAACATCAACATCAGCAGCATCATTTTCATCAGCAACAACCACATGAGCAATTATTACAAACTACTATCCATACTACTACTGTTAATACTACTACTACTACTAATACAACGCCAACCCTATCATCATCAACGCTGTCTAATTACACAGTAAATATTCCTAATATTGACAATTATCCTTTATCAAATGAATCTAACAGACATGGAAATGATACAGACATTATATTTTCAACTATTCCATCTTATACTACTAATTCGCTGTCATCATCATCAGCAACAAACTCATCTACTGCATTGTCATCTTTCATACCGGATTCAACAATCAATTACACTAATCGTGGACAATTAAATTGTACTTTAGCGTATTTATCAAATCAAACAAATAATTTCACAAATTCCGATTCTTATCATTCAGCTCATCATTTACAACCGCCACCAATTAATTCATTGAAAGAATCAACTACTAGTTCTAATCCTTTGAAATTATTATATCCTCAGTGTTATATTACATCACCGACAGTAAATGATGCATGTGACACCCCTACACAATCGATTGGATCATGTGATAATTCCATGCCACATATATGGCCTCAATCAATGAGTCATGTTCAATGTTCAACAAATTTTTTATCTTCCTATTCCACTGGAATGGCTGCAGCGGCGGCGGCGGCAGCAGCGGCTGCAGCAGCAGCAGCAGCTTCTGTCTCGATTCATCCAACCTCTTTTGATAATACACAATCATCAGTGTTTGTATCCGCATCGTCAACATCCAATACAACACAATTTCATCGTTATTTAAATGATAGACATTTACGAAACAATAATAATAATAACAATAATAATAATAATAGTAATAATATCAATAATCATTCAACTATGTGTAATCAAACATTAGGACGTGTAAATTATTTAACCTCTACTCCAATCTCATCACCGATCAATAATATCAATGATCATCTATCCGAATCGAAATTTCCATTGACGACATATCCAACTGTGACAACGACAACAGCAACAGCAACAACAACATCCTCATCGTCATTATCGTGTTTATCTTCTGCGACATGTGATTTGTATAATATGCCACAACATTTATTATCGAATCGTTTATCAATGAATTCACATTTCACTTCGTCGACTTTAACATCCATACCAAGTGGTGAATTAAGAAGACCTGGGAGTAATAATGAATTATTCTATTGTCAATGGATTGATCCAATGCCTACAATACCTGGTTCCATGCCGAAACCATGCGGTAGAGTATTTGACTGTGTCACAGAAATAGTTAATCATATTACATTGGAACATGTTGGCGGTCCGGAACAATTAGATCATACATGTTATTGGAAAGATTGTATACGAGATGGTAAACCGTTTAAAGCAAAATATAAATTAGTTAATCATATACGTGTACATACTGGGGAGAAACCATTTCCATGTCCATTCAGTGGTTGTATGAAAGTATTTGCACGTAGTGAAAATTTGAAAATTCATAAAAGAACACATACTGGTAAGTAATATATAGTATTATTAGTAGTATTTTAAAAATTATATTTCCCTAAAGTTAACATTTATTTTTGATATGTATGTAAATGTGGTTGAATGATTAAGACATAACCTTGTTTGGACGAATTTGATTTAAGTAACCAAGTAACATCATTTAGCTCTGTTACTTACATGGTGGTCTGAAGCTATCCGTATGTATCAGTTCTTGGGTGAATAAGTTATCTTAGGAAATATTTAATCATAGTAATAATGTCAGCATCATGAGCACTGTTTACTTACTTACTTACTTACGCCTGTTACTCCCAATGGAGCATAGGCCGCCCACCAGTTTTCTCCAACCAACTCTGTCCTGGGCTTCCCTTTCTAGTTCTGTCCAATTTTTGTTCATTCTTCTCATATCTTTCTCTATTTCACTTACAGAGATAGTCTTCAAACTGTATGGTTTTTATTTTATTCTGTTAATCAATTATTAGAACATGTCTAGTTTACAACAGAATCAAATTTTCATTTAGAAAAATATAATATTTATAGTCATTTTAGAGAAAAAGAAACAATTTTATCCGGAATGAAATAGTTTAAAAAAGGGACTAAATAATACTTTTAAAAATTTATACTCAAAAAGTGTTGACTGAATCATGAGTTTAATGAAATAAATTGATTATTGAACAGAAAAAAAAAACTATTTAAAAAGAATAGTATGTTTTATTTTATCGGTGAATTAGAATTTTGTCGATAATAAATCTAAGTGTATCAGAAAATATGACTGATCAACATAGTTATATAAAATTCAATTTGTATGATATTCAGTTTCTTTGTTTTATGTTTGATTTTTTAAAAAAACTTTATAGTCATGACACAACCGATAACTATGAATGAATGATGAAAACATTTTGAATTTTAATGAAATTCAATACAGAAATGTGTAATAATCGTGCGATTCTCTGAATGACAAATGTCTTATTTCCATATTGATGAAATTGGCTGGTTACAGTTTCTCACTTAAATTACAAGAATTAACATTATTATTATTATTATTATTATTATTATTATTATTAGTAGTAGTAGTAGTAGTAGTAGTAGTAGTATTAGCGAAATTGTTTTTTTTGAAGAAATTTAAGTGTGAACACATGAGCTAGGTTGCT